CCTCCTCCTCCTCCTCCTCCTCCTCCTCCTCCTCCTCCTCCTCCTCTGTGGGAGGAGGTTGGTGTGACAAAGGAGGGGTTCAAGTTCAGGCAGGTCCAGCCCCTCAAACTGTTTCCACTCACTCACAGCAGAAGGCAAAGTGGCCTTAGACGCAGGGAGTGAATCTCTGTGCGCAGCTTCACTGATGTTGATCCAGGAGTGAAAGCACAGACATGCATTCTGTGGGCAAGTCGTGGCTGCTGCTTACAGGCTTCATCCTCTTCTACATCATCTACCTGTTGTTCGGAGCCCTGGTGTTCTCCAGCATCGAGCGGCCGGTGGAGGACAAGCTGCGCCATGACATGGACGCGCTGAAGCAGGAGTTTCTGAACCAGAGCTGCGTCAACGCCGCGTCGCTCGAACTCTTTCTGGTCAAGGTGCTGACGGCCAACAAGTACGGCGTGTCGGTGCTCAGAAACTCCTCCGCCACCTCCAACTGGGACCTGGCATCGTCCATGTTCTTCGCCAACACGCTGGTCACAACTGTGGGTGAGTTCACACCAAAGCACACTGGGTGTTTTCAGACAAAGGGACTTTTACGCACGACGGACAAATACCCAAACTTCAGATATCAGCGCCTACAGTGATATGAGCCATGAGCTGTGAACAAACATGAATATGTGGACTTAACTTTTTGTCTTTAATTGGATATAAAATACCTAATCCCTGTCATAACTTTTCTGGTGATGTTTTGCCACGTGTCAGGGATGTTTCTGACAAGTTGCAGCTGTGCAGTTTAACAAACACAAACAGCCAGAGGGGGAGTAGTTTAATCCATAAAGTGAAATCAACTTTCTGTTGCCTCAGCCAGATGTGGAAGTTTGGGCAGAAAGTACAGAGTGATTCTCTTCATCAGATTGACGTTCAAGAGGCTTTTAGTATGAAATTATGAGACAAAGTTGTGGTTATGGAGGATTTATAAGTGTGTTCAGAAGATTACAGGGTCTGATTCAGTTCTCATGAACGTGGCTTGGAAAACCCTCTGTGATAAAGTGACCTGAGCTGGATGTGAGAGGAAGTGCAGCTGCAGGGAGAGTTTGTCATGTGTCACAGATGATCGGCAGTGATATGCAACTTGTACTTCCACACGCTCACAGCACATTTTACCCTCATCATGCTTGAGTGGAGGCAAATAATCAAAAGCTCAGGGTAATTATCCATCTTCAGCTGATTCAACTTTTACCTCAGATGTGATCATTCCAGCAGGTTTGGACACAAAATATGAAAACATGACACGAACAGATGGTTAACAACAAAATGTACAATATTTACAACTTGTTCTCACTTTAAATTAAATTGTGATTATGGGGCTTGGTTGTCATGGTCGTCCTGTTGTGTTAAAAGATTGTGGACGTTTGATTCGTGGTTACCGTCTTGGTTTCGGAACACCCTTATTAATTGGTCTTAGTTTAGCTGTATGTCCCAGTGTCTTTATATTTTACACACAGACATTTTCTCATCTAACTCTTGCACAGAAAGCAAAAAAGCAAATTTCCCTAAATCCTGTTCATGGATGAAGGAGAAGTTTGTTTGTCGTTTGGTTTGTGAGCTTCAGATGTTCACTCTTGTCTCCTGATGAAGGAAACACGATACACGGTTTAAACTTCCATAAACTAAACTGAGCGATTTAAAAAGAAAAAGTATTTTCATTCCATTAAGATTTGAAGAAGTGGCAGTTAAATACTGTATTGGTGCAACTTTTACATGTGCTACATTCATTAGTTGCACACATGCAGTGTTTTGTACTTGATGCATCAGTGTTATAGTTGTTTTAATCTAATTATGTGAGATTCAGTTTAGTCAACAGGAGCTGCATGATATGACGACATGTGAAAATGTCTGGAGGTTATGCTCTATTGTTTATTTTTCATTATGAGCAAATAGCTCAGGGTTGTGGTTCTTCCACATGATGAAGGTGCAGGCAGGAAATTTTGCTTGAAGGAAACAAGCAAATATGGAGGAGAGTGAATGCGTCACAGAACGGGGAGAGGATGTGGTTTGGGTATGACAAGCCTGACACGGAGCAGAAAACTGTACTTATTATGCCCATTTTACCACCTCAACACCACAAACCTCTCACCATCAAACGCCTCGTGTCAAACGAGCCTCAGACGCTGCAGGAGGATTTCACCTTATGCAAAGAATCATGAAGGAACTATAGATTGAAGGAGATAACAGTCGCTGTCACACTGCAAACACACGGCCACAGGTCACACAGAAGAACAGAGGCTTTAAAATGTATTGTGAGGAAATGGAATTCATAAAACAGAAAACTTGTGTCACAATCAGAGAAGTGGAGATTGAAAGATATGATATTTATAAGGAAGGTAGAGTCTAGTGTCAAGTGATACGATGGGAAATGTAGGATCCAGTTGTAAAAGCAGGATATCTCAACCTCTACTACTTTGAATATCTTTAACATTGTCACAAAAGCAGGGAAACGCTGCGTCTACCTGGATGAATCGTCAATTGCTCATGCAGTCTTTTTATTACCTCCGCCAAGAATGTTGTGTTTTGTCTGATTGTTTGTTAGAATCACACAAAAGCTTTTGACGGATCGCCATGAAACTCCGTGAAGGATGTGTGGTGTGGGTCAGTGAAGAAACCATTAAAGTTGGGCTGTGAATCTGGATCAGGGGGTGGATGCAAGAGATAGAAAAGTTTGCAGCATGTCTGTTGTTTCTCGAAGAATTACTCATGGATCTTGATGCAAAAAGAATCAGGCACATTCAGGGGAGTGCTATTTATGACTGTGTGTAATTTGGTGCAGATCCAAATAAAAATCTGGATCTAGTGAGTTTAAATGTGGTTTCATAAGGAGACTGTTGGACCTTGGTGGAGATATGAACTCTTGTCATTCTACTTTGTAATTCAGTTGATTTCATCATTAAGGTGCAGGTGGTGGTCTTGGATAGGAAGGGTCCTCTAATTTTAGACCCAGCCCAAAATGACATGTCAGTGCTGGTTTCAGAATGACACAGTTGTAATTTCCCCTTCAACACCCACATTGTTTAAATAGAAAATGCACTTGCACCTTTCTGAACACCCGTGGGCGTGTTGGTTTTAAGATGAGCTTGTATTCAGGAGCTTTGTCAGCACAGCGCAAAGTGACTGCACGTTTGACTAATTAAATCCTGTTTGGATTCACAAAACACACCAAAACACCCATAAAACTCAGTGTAAATCACTCCATGCATTGGATCATGAAAATATAACATTAGTTCTGCAGCTACAGGGCTAAAGGACCTGAGGGTCGGAGAAATGGTCATAAGACGTTTATTTTTCCCACAAAGAAATGTGTTTCTGTCTGTGTTGTGGAAAAAGTTTTGAGCAACAGGACAAATCTTACGTAATGATAGAACTTTATTCATACAAACCTAAATTGAAACATAACTTGTGTTTTTAACATCCTGAGAAAGTTGGTGTCAGTGTGTGTGTTTGCTGTTTTGAACCTGCTTCACATACAGGTCACTGTTTTACTTGTGGGACTAACATCGCTCATATACTGTAAAGACGTGGTTTCATCAGTGCAGAGATTCACATACTCACAGATGTTCAACTGTGTTTTCTGCAGAATCTGAAGCTTTTGTGATGTTGGTATTGGAACATCTGTATTCACATCAATTGTAGAAGCAGTTTAGTGAATCTTTGCTACTACGCCAAAGTTTACTTGTGTTTGAGTCCAGGATATTTTAAATTATTTATGACTTGTCCCTAGAGATTCAAAGGAAGGGTTGGCAGGTTGTTTCTAAAGTCAGATATAGCTGATATTAGTACTTTATTAATAAGAATACTTAGTAGTAATATCTTACTACTAATATCAGCTATTTAGCTTGACGCTGTTATGGAACGATTGATGTGACATGAATTTTATATGTGAGTTTTCGCTCATGCAACAATTTTTTTCCAAAGGTCACACAGCTTATTTTTATGCAATTAATATTTTATATGTTGTTTCTAATTGTTTTGTGGAGGTTTCTAAGCACCTTGTGTTTTCTTCACAGTGTCCTCATCAGTTCAGTCACACAGTGAAGCTCTTGTTTTTAACACTGTGATGAAACCAGTCCAGTTTTTCTGTCAACCAGATGCCCACACTGAGGAAATGCACATTTCGCCCCGTCAGCCGTTTTTTAATTTTTTTTATTTGTACGTTCTCAGTCCAACGGTAGAAACAAGACAAGCTGTGAGGTTGTGAATAAATACACCACCAGTTTATTATATAACTTTTACCTGGAGGTGGAACCAGAAGTGAACACACCCTGATGTGTCTGTCACCGTCACTAATTGCACAGAATTAACTTTGTGCAGAACAATAACAAATATATTTTACATGTTCCCTCCCTGTTGAAGAAGGGACAGTGGTGGAGGAAGTACACAAATATTCCACTCAAGTTAAAGTACAAATATATAGAAAATGAGAACTATGAGTACTACTACTACTATGATCATGGATCTGGTTTAACTGAGTCTCCGCCTCAATCCACATTTTCCCTTCATTAGTGATGCTGATCCTGCAGGAGGCGGGGTCTAATGTTACCTGCCTGCTCTGATTGGCCCAATCAAATGTCCCCTCTCATTATTGATTCATTTAAACATGCCACTCAATTCTATGTTAAAATGAAGTGGAATACAAAGTGCAGATATAACAATTCAGTTAAGAATTGAAACATTAAGTACAGATGCATAAACACTGCACATAAGTACTGTAAAGAAGTCAATGTACTTACTTGCATCCCACCACTGAGTAGCGACATTTCCAGAATGTTCATGCTCCACTTTTTGAATTGGTTTCATTGATTAAAGATTTGTACAGAACACGATGGAATGATTTCATGTCATTGAGCTTCAGCAGCTTGTGACTGGTGTGAATGGAGAATATTGGTGAAGAATTGATGTCGCAGGTTCTATATGTCGACTCACTGTGAATTAGTCGCAGATTCGTCACATGTGGAACACGATGCTCAGCCCCCTGTTGCATTCAGGGTCACCTGGTTATTCTTCTTTGTTTGGTGTATTGGCGGGTGGCAACCAACGTCAAGGTGCATTACCGCTATCGACTGTATCCAATGACTGTGAAGACACAGGAAACAACCCCAGGGCAGACGGATGTCCGGGGGATTGTCTAGATCTGCTTCAAAACTTTTTTCTGTATGTTGGTCTGTTTTAATTTCGTCTGCTTGCTAGTGTAGCAAGAAGCAGGGTGTTGTTTTTTCGTGCATGTGCGCGTGTGTGCGCGCGCTCAAATGAATAGTCAAAAACACATATCTTCACAAATAATAGAGACAATCAAAAGGTTGTATTGATCAGAAAATGATTCCCAATCAAAAGACGTCACATGATACGTGACATGAAAAACTCACACCCAAGTCAGAAAATGTTCCCGGCATCTCTACATCATACAGGACGACAGACACGACCTTACATGGATCAATAATTGTTTTATGATCTTATGGTTAATGATGTCATCACGACATCACATTCGACGTATATTTAGTTTGTTTTATTTTCCTTCCCCAGCATTAGTTTCCTGTTTTGTTATTGGCCGCAGCTGGTGATTTTAATGTGACGTAACATTGGTTCATCGATCAGGGGCCTGTAGTTGTAAAGCAAGAAGCCGTCTACGATAAGGATGTGAGTCCCTTCCTCCTTATGGTCAGACTTGGGATGATCCCAGTATCCAGGGTGTTATTAACGCCATGCGACTCCTCAAGCCTCACTGGTTTCTCCAACAACGTGTAGATTGCACTCATCAAGGCCGTCCATGTCCAGAGCAGCGATGACATCGTGCAACTTAAAGCCTTCTTCATCAACTTCAATTTGATCTTGGAGCTGGTTTACATTCATTATACTTCCACCCAGCAGGTTTTTATTGTTTAATCTTTGTATTGCTGTCTGTTTAACTTAGCAGGATTGTGCAACAACTAATGGTTACGCTGGATAGTGACATACATCATAATGTCTTTAGACGTCACATGAACTAATCTTTACTTTACTTGGTCTCTTTCTAGTCTCTTGTTATCAGGTTTGTACAGGCTCTACTTAAAGTGTTCATTGAAATTGAAATAAATAAGTAATTGTGTTTGGTTAAACTGACTTTAGCTCATAAAACCATGAAGACAAAACATAATGTGGTGAAAAGAAAACCAATAAGATGAACAGAAATTCAAATAACGTACTTAAAAACTTAAAAACGTAACATCAGATATTGTTTAACAAGATGTGTGGCTCAGTTTTTTAGTTAAAAATGCAAATGCGAGTTATAGAACAAACAAATCTAAATATTACTTGGATTGTCTTAAATAATTTAAGAGTTTTAATAATTTGAAATGGATAATAATAAAACAGATGATAGATTTTATACAAAAAAGCAGGAAATCACAGGTACATTTTGACCAGTGTATAACAATTTTCTCTCCTCTGCTGTCTCTCCCTCTTCACCTCCAGGTTATGGTCACACCACTCCTCTGTCTGACACTGGGAAGGCCTTCTCCATCCTCTATGCCCTGATAGGAGTCCCCTTCACCATGCTGGTCCTCACTGCCTGCGTCCAGAGGCTCATGTTCCCTCTTGTCCACGCCCCCGTCGGCCTCCTGCAGCGTTCGGGGATGGAGCCTCGGCCTGCCACCGCCGTCCACTTCCTGCTGCTGCTGGTCTTCATGGTACTGTGTTTCTTCGTCGCTCCAGCTGCGGTGTTCAGCACGTTGGAGGTGTCCTGGTCCTTCTTGGATGGCGTGTACTTCAGTTTCATCTCGCTGTGTACCATCGGACTTGGGGACTTCGTTCCGGGGATGCAGCCTGGACAGAAGTACAGGCAGCTGTACCAGGTCTCTGTCATGGGTGAGTACTTTCATGAATATATCTCAGAGCCAAATTGGATCTATTGTGGCTGAGAAGATCAGACGAAAGAGATGAGACCACATGGCTTTTTATTTACTTTTAATATTCTAAGTGTTTGCTTGTTAGTTCCCCTCGGGTGAGGTCAGAGTGCTTCTCCATTCTCTCAGCTACTCTCACTCAGTTCCTCTCTGATGTTTGGTCCATGGCCGAGTGTGTTTGACAAGAAGGTGTTGTCTCATTTTGACACTTGACTCAGTGACGTTAATATTAGTCACTGTTTACTGAGCTGAGAGTCTGAGGCAACAAATTAGTTTTAAATGCAGCTGCAGTGTTTGTTAATGTGGATGGATCAGTACACACAGCGTTTTAGTTTCCGGAGTTCCACACTCGAGAGTTTTCAAAAGAATAAAAAAGTTTAGAAACGCTGCTGCTCCAGTTTTAGTTTGAAACATCCTCGGCTGCTTTGTAGTCGTGACTGAATAAAACTTTTTGAATTTGGTTTCTCATCCTCGTTCACTTCCTGATCTCCCTGATCCCTGACTAGAAATCCTGGGATGGACTTTTCAACATTGTCGTTCCGCGTTTGTTGTATTTTCTGCAACTTAACAACCAGTTGCAGAGTAAATGTTTTGCTTCCTGTTTACACCTGCACACTGAGAATGGTTTATTTATTCCTAAGGCAATTTTAACATATTGTTAAAAGTAAAGCACAGTTTAAAGTATACTTAACTTATACAAATATAATATAATTCTTCATAAATTCACATCACAAAATCTAAACCGACTTCAAGAATGAACACTGAAGATTTTTTACAAGTGATAATAAGGAGGATGGAGATTTTTTACTGATGAGCTACTGAGAAGATTGTGTGGACGGAGGTCGTTTTTAAAATGCCTCTGAAACTAACATTAGTGTGGAGACAGAGCCTCACTCACACTTGAAATGTATCATAGACGTGTTGAAATATACGAAATAAGTGCCAGGCCTCTACACCACTCACTTTCAAAGTCTATGTTTAGTTGACAGTATTTTGTCAGGAGGTCGGAAAATAAAAGATCTGTTCCTGAAGGAAACGGCTGCATAAACAAACTGTTGTGCTATCTTGTGCAACATGCAGCGTAAAAATATCTTGGGGGGAAAAAGCTCAATGCTCAAGACAATAAAGTCTGAGTCTTTCTCGTCTCCTCCTAATCGCAACATGTTTATTAAAGTTTACCTCAGACGCTCTGACCTGTCGTAGTTCGATGGAGGACTTTGTTATGAGCTGGTTCCATGCAAACATGTTAATACGCAGCTCTGCCAAAAGGTTCACTTCATTCCACTGATCTGCAGGGGCCGTTAACATGTACAATGTACGGGAACGTGCAATCAAAGACAGAAGAAGATTAATCAATATTTGAAATGCTGTCTGTGTCCATGTCCCAACTTTTCAGACAGTTTTGTTGAAATACATTCAGTAGTGGAGAATCCTGCAGACAAACAAACAACAACTCCACAGAGGTGAAAACGTAACATCCTGTGTGCAGATTAAAAAACAGTGATACCATTCAAAAGAACATGTGACCTGGATTTGTGCCAAGACTCTTCAGCCAGTATCAGGAGTGTCATCTTGACGGGCTGGACAGGAGCATCTTATTCATCGGTGTAGAAACCATTCTCATCCTTATGATTCAGATGTTCAAATGTTTTTCATCAATCTCTACTCTGTTTAAAACAAGAGTCACATGATGGAGGTTATTTTCATACTCGTGCTCTTGTTTTTCAGCCTGTGTGTGTGTGTGTGTGTGAGTGTTTTCTCTCTAATTGAATCAGGCCTGGAATGATGCTTTTGTCTAAAAGTAGACGAGCTGTTTGTTTTTGTTACAGTGAATATCTGATAAACAAGGCTTATGAGATGAGGGTGGTCTGTTGTATTCAGGACTGAAAAATCATCTGCAACAAATTCAGCAAGGCCGTTTTCAGACATCTTCAGAAAATGTCTCGTAATATGGGAAACCTCATCAACACGGCCACTAGCCCACTTTGACATTTTCGTGCTGTATTCTCACACGGACTCACTCGGACTCAAGTTCCACCCTAAAATGCTTTTTCCTGATGATGAAACTTTAGATTTAGGACATGATGATATTTTTTTCCATTTTTTCACTTCTAATAAATCATTTTAGGAGGATTTCATGTTTAATTCAATGGTCAGAGACATTCAGGTGGACATGGCTGCCACACGCTGGGTTTTCCTCGCCGTCCTTTCTCATCTAATCCCCCCCTGACTCCTGCTCGCAGGAGAAGCGGCGGTTCACACGGAGCAGCCGTGTTGTTGCCTCGTCATACAGGCTGTGTTACATAATCATGATGTAGGTCGAGTCAGATTAATCCAAACTGGCCCTGAAGGTTCTGAGTAGGATTAGTGATCCGGCCTGTTGTTCTCACAGCCTGATGACGGGACGTCTCGTGAAGCCGCTGTGGTTTTTCCAGCTGTAGTGAACACGTTGTAAATAACAACACATCTGCAGCTGCTGCGGTAAATGAAAGTGAAGCCGACTAAGTGGCAGTTTTATCCATCGCAACCCACATCAGGAACTCTCTTGTATTCCTTCAGTAGCAGAACTAATGTTTCTTCAGTTTTGTGTTCATCTCTGACAGGTACAGAGCTTTTGTTAGAGGAGGAAGTGAAAGTTTCATATAGAAGATATTCTAAAGTTATACAATATACAGGCCTCAAACATGTTGAAACACTCAGTATAGTATTGACGACACAACGTTCAATTGAGCAAGATGCACAAAACTGCTGTTTAAGGTTTTACCATTTCTACTGAACTCGTTGAACAGCAAATATTTTGTGAAGTTTGGAGTTTGAACTGTCAAAGTCCTGGAACTCATCACATGCTGTTATCCACCATGAAGAGGTCATACAAATGGTATAATACAGTATAATATTTAACATTCAAAGTCTGCAGGTTTAAACTCTGTGATTCAAGCACTGTCATTAACTAGAATATCAGTAGAGCTCATACCTCCGCCAACAGTTACATTCAATTCAGCTGCACCAAATTACACACATTCATGGATATAAGTTCTTTAAATGTGCCTCTCTTGTTTTTTACATCAAGATCCATGAATCGTTTTCTGGGTGATCAGTTAAAATGTCAAGAGACGCTCTGTCTCTATAATTTTAAAGAAAGAAATCAGTTAAGTAGTTTTTGTGTAATCCTGCTGAAAAACAAACAAATCAGCAGACTGGGGTGAAAACATAACCTCCTTTTCATTTCTTTATTTCTTAAATCAAACTCCAGGTTTTTGCATGAAATCGTTTTTTTAAGATCTGAATCTGCAGATATAAAAACAGCCTCTCGTGTTGTCCTGGGTCCCTCAGGATTTCCTCTGCAGCACTTTTCCTGTAAACTTCCCACAGTAACGGTCCAGTTCAGGGTCGGGGCCTCTGTAATCTGACGCTGCCCCCCCCTCAGTTGGCCTATTGTCCAGGACCTGTGGTGATTTGGGGCGGTTTAGTGCACATATGTGACAGAGGAGAACCTCATGGCTTTAAGGCAAACACAAGAATCTGAGCAGGAATAACAGATGTTGAGCACATTTAGTTTTCACCCTCTTGCTATTACAACTAGAGGGCGCTGTTGTCCTCCTTTCTGCCCTCGGCACAGAAACACATTAATTGCAGAACACACAAAGCTCCTTATTCATCTCTTGTTTTGCTGTGCTTCATAACCAACCATTTCTAAAGAAAAATAATACCCAAGGACAAAGCTCCAACCAGTATTAGTACTATTATTATTGTTATAACCAAAATTAAATTGCATATTTGATGCCATTGAAAAAAATACTTAAACTCTTCAAAATCTTTGTATTTCATGCGACACAGGAAGTGATGCATAATGTGCAAGAAAGTACATGTCCCAGTGCACAGCTGCATCAGCCAGCATCCAGCCTGCACTCTGACATGCACAGTGATGACAGGGTGAGAGGGCCCAGTCAACACTGCTCATTGGATTTTCTGTTTACCTTTACTGAGGAGCTCATGTTTTCATCTCTGTCCACTGGTTAGTTTATTTGTCTGCATGATTATGAAAAAAAACAGAAGGATAGCGCTTGTGTGTGTGTGTGTGTTCCTAACCAGAATGTTGGTGCTTGGAATCAAGTGTACATGTTCTTTTATTCACATTTCTACACAGTACTCTAAATGGCAGCCTTTTTTATTTTAATATATTATTAATTGAGATTTCTTATTTTACCAGCTCCAGACATTTCATACATAAAGTATCACGCCCACCAGGGGCCAATCGAGACACATATTTTAGGTCTAAAGTTCTTATCCACTCCTTCTGATGTTTCCATTATATCAGACAGAGTGATGCAGCTTCAGGTAAAAAATATTTTTGCGTGATTGAGTAAATAATCTCCTGTGACACCTGTGTCTCTCTGCTGCCCCCTGTAGTCTACCTGTTTGTGGGTCTGATGATGATGTACCTCCTGCTGCGCACCTTCCACAAAATGGCCGACCTGCACGGCCTGACCACCTTCCTGCAGCTGCCGCGCTGCGAGGAGTCCGACCAGGACGAGGACCGGGAGCCCATCGTGGAGAGCAAACGTGACGACCAGACGCCGCCTTACCTGACGGACAAAGCAGCCAGTAAGCCCCTGGAGCCAGGATCTCAGCCCTCGTACAACACCATCAACAAGGGCTGAGCTGTGGGGCGGCAAAGACAGGAAACAGAAGCTCTACCTCTGCCGATCCCTCGGTCTTAAAGCAGCAATAAAGAAACCCACACCGGTCGGCTGAATCTGAATTCTTCTCTTAATTTCCATTTTGTTTCCCTGAGAAGAGAGCGGAGCGATAACGAGGAGTTGAGATGAGAGTTTTGAGATTCAGCCTCAGTGGAGAGGGCGGATGAACAGCGTGTTTGGTCGTTACATCACTTCCTGCACGTGTAAAAGGATTTTCAGAAATTGATGCAGCCCGCCTGGGCCAAAAGGCACAAATGTTCCTGTTAAACACTGGTGTCACACATGACTCGGAGTCGCACATGAACCAAAACTGTAGCTACATGGTGGTTTGTTTGTTTTCACTTTTATCCTGCGTGGGGGTTTTTTCTTGTTCATGTTTCTTTTTGCGCCGTAGGATTGGGTCACACGTTCAGGACTAACAAATATTTAATTCATAAAACGGCTAAAATTAAAACTTCACATTTTATGTAAATCTTATCTTATCTAATCTGTTTTTGTTTTTCTTTGAGGGGCGTGTAACGTTCAGCTCCTTCTCTTTATGTTTCACACGTGCACATCATGGTCAAAACGCCTCCAGACTATTCACTGCACCGTCCACTCGTGTCAATGATCCTCTGGTTGGTTCGGCCTTGACTTTCTCTTGCACCACTTGCATGAACTAATTAGTCTGTTGCAATTTTAGGTCTAAAATACAGTTCTCATTAAGATCTGAGCTTTTCAGATCTGGAACCTGTTTCTTATTTAATCAGATTTAATTTGTAAAAGTTGCAACAGCCTTAAGCACAGAAATACAGAGGAACAGTGTGTTTCCTTCAGGACATGTTCTGTCCTCCTTTATGATGCCGCCCCCTGGTGTCTGCATGTGTGCAGTACCACACCTCCAGGACAGTAGCAAATAAATAGGGTAAAAGGGTTGCAATAGAGGGACTGCAGAGAAGGAAACGATGGCAAAGAAGTGTTTCATTGTGGTGATTGAGGACGTGATCCATGAAAAACCAAATGTTTCTGTAATGTGTGATTCATAGTGCATGGATTTAATCCATCAGAAGAGAAACAAACATTTGAAATGCACTTTAATGTTCACATCAGTTCTTGTAGTCAAACAGGTTAATTACATCCTGATACTGTAACATGATTTGTTCCTGTTCATGTGTATGTTGTTGTAGTTTAGCAATGTAATGTATTCATATTGGAAAATAAATTAAATAAAAAAATATCGTGTATCATGTCTGCATGTTTGGAACAAAAACCTCCCCTCTGTCTTTTCAACCCCCCTCTCCTCTCTCTCTCCCCCATTTTTCTCTGCTCACCCCACCAGTCGAGGCCGATGGCTGCCCAAACAGACTTTCAGTTCTGTGTGACTAGGGTTGCAAAGGAGCAGAACATTTCTGGTAAATTTCCAGAAAATTTCCATGGGAAGTTAAGGTGGGGAATTTTGGAAAGATTCCAAATTGGAAACTTTCCATGAGAATTATGGGAATTAGTGGGAATTTATGGGAATTAACTGTAAATTGGGGGTAATTTAAACAAACTGGATATCCATATCCAAATATAAATGTAAATATATTTGTTTTGTCATAAGCAGACATCCATGCAAAATAATACAATTAAAAAAACATGACATGTCAACAGATTTATTTGAGTAGAACTTTAGTTTTATTTCTTGTATGAACAATTCTTTAATGAACAACAAAAACATGAATGTTGAGTAGCCTCTTAAATGGTRAYTGAAATGAAWABTAGCTTACATTTAGCACCTATTTTTATTTAATATTTCCAAGTTAAACATCAATACTATTATAGATCAAATATATTTACCCCATAATATTATCAAAACTTACTTGACTTCAGATAGTCCTCGGGCTCAAATGTGTGGCTTCAATAGTCTTGAAATCAGATGTGCATGTGATGGAGGAATGCACAGTGCATGTAGGGGGTGTGGCCTAATTAGCCCTGCAGTAAGCTGTGTGCATGTGATTGAGGAGTGTACGTGAAGTAAATATGGCTGTTTTAGCTAAGATTGTGCTACAATATATTTAAGTTCCCTGTTGAGGGCCAATCTCCAATTTTGTAAAGTTAAGATTTATTCCCGTTAATTCCCATATATTCCCGTTAATTCCCATAGAAAGTTTCCAACTTTTGTTTCCGAATTTTGCAACCCTATGTGTGACACTTATCTGCTAAAAATTCAAATAAAGCACAATTTCATTTTCACGTTTTATTAAAAACGTCAGTACAAGTAAACATTTACCTTCTTTAAAAAAAAGTCTAAATACATAGTATCTGAGCATTCTGCCCTCAATTTTAAAACAACCATTAAAATATTTGTAGAGAAAATAAAAATTAATAAAAATAACTGCCATAACAGAATATTAATAAACCAGTATTGAATTGTCAAACATGGTACATTAAATTACTCATCTTGTTCACAAAATATGCAGATTCAGAGTAGTTTTGAGACGACGTCCCTGTTGTTCAAAGAAGCTTAGCACAGAAAGCAACTTTGATCCATGATAAAACCGAAATCTAACAGACATCCTCCTCGCGTGCTTCCTCAGCCACTCCTGTCATGTGGTTACAGCAGTGTTGGTTAAAACGACGGATCAACATCTAGAACCAATGACGTTACAGTCAGCACACCTTATTTTCAACAATATGCATCAACAGAACATTTAACAGGACCACACTTTACTTAACAGGTCTGACAAGGGACAATTAGGCCAAATCTTACCTGTAATGTAACATTTAAATAAATACAGAGTAAAACATAAACCACATGACACCAGATTTCAAATGCATATCATTAACAAAAGTGCAATATTTCAGATGTAAACCAAACTAAACTTCTTCTACATCAGTATCATAGAAGCGGTTGAGTAGTGGTTGTGACTTTAAATAACATGACACCTACAGGGTGGGGGGGCCTGTACTGTCACATTCTACCTTCTGAGGGCGTTTGTGTTCCATCTCAGCACTGTAAAGGCTCTCTGAATAAAAGCCTCTCTCAGATATCGAATACTCTGCACGTGGAGTCGTGACAGGAAGACGACGTGTTACTGTGGTTTCTCAGCTGCACTCGCACATGTCGGATGGAACTAATTTTAGCTTTACTCCTCATTTGAGTCATGATTTGACTGTCAGCTGGTTTAAACAGTTTTTAAAGAGTTGTGCTTTTTCCACAGATGTCGAAGGACTAACTTTTTTCTATACTGCGAATACAGGAATATATAAATGAAATGTGATGATCACTAAAATATCACTGGTGAAAATTAAGCTTAAGAAAAGCTTCAAGAATTAAACACAATTAAAACTTTCAGTTTCTTTTTTCTTATTTCCTAACTGCACAAACTACTGGTTCTTATGGATTTCTTCTCCTGGTCGAACCTCTCGTTCTCTCAATGTTTCGAGTTACTATGGTCCTATTCAGACCAGTCTAACAGTCACATTTTCCTGGGAAGCTCGACCGTGTTAAAATCCTGATCTCTTTTTTTCTGACGTGATTCCCTCAGTTATAACCAACTAATAAATATGAGGTTAAAGAATTTCTTCACAGAAGATTTGACCAATAATTTTAGTGTTTCAACCACCTTCCTCCTACACCAGCCAAATCACATCCTCCCAGATCTCAGGTCAACGTTTTACACTGGTTATAAAGGAATTTGTCTCACATCTCCTGAATTAATAATTTTTGTCTTTACAATTTGAACACAAGATCCTGATCTTTACACAGGCACTGCACTATTTCTGATTATCTGAGTCACACTGGAATTAGTAATAAAATGCATTTCTACAGCTCATTATGTGGTGACTCACTGAGCCTCATCTGACTTGATTTTCACCCTCAGTCGACTTCCATTTTAGCAGTAACACAAATCCTTCCTGTTTTCTGTACTTCAACTTACAAGAGGAGCTGTCAGGCGCATCACAGCTTCTCTTGTATTTTCTGTCTTACACGTGAACCATTTCTACCTGTCAATAACACTCGTACTACTTTCTACAGCCTCTAATACATCGCTCATTGAGCAGTTATATATATGAACAGCAAAGACAATATTGGACATGTTTGACAGTCCATTTGAAGAATAGTTTTTGTCCACTAAGTTAGTGAATGGTGTTCAGGTAACTTCCTGTATACAGTATGATGAAGCTGACTAGGCTCTCAGGACTCCACCAGGATCTCCATCAGGTGCTCCAGCTCAAGTCCTTCTCTCGCATGATTGTGGCCAGAGAAGACAGAACACGGTGGCGAGGAGAGAGAAGGCGAAGAAGGCGACAAGGAAGACAATGGGCTGAATGAGGATAAAGAAGGCAGACACTTCAGATTCTGGTTGAGAGAGAGGGAGAAGGAGTGTGAGGAGGGAGAGAAAGGCGGCAGGTAGCGGAGAAGATCATCCCCGGCTGGGTATCCACCTCCACTGCCTCTGAGCCCAAACACTCCCATGTCCCTCTCCAGCAGGGATGTGTCTATGTCCTGGAAGAGATCTTCCACGGTGAGATCGCTGAGGTAGCTGGACCACATCACCTCCACATTGCTCTCCCACACCCTGCATTCCTCCTGCTGCTCCCAGCTGCCCCCATAACCTCTGACTCCCTGTTTTACCCATGCTGCACTTCCCTCTGGGGACCTCGACAGGTTCTCCAAGGAGCGGAGAGGTGTCCGAGGAGCTGCCTGAGGGCTCCCGTCAATGGTGGAGTCCAGTGCGGAGAGAATGGAGGAAATGGCTGCTGAAAGGGAGAAATCAGGATCAGTGGACATCGACCCCCAGTCCTCATCTTCGTCTCCTAAAGACAGCGGAACATTGGATGTATATGAGTGGCAGGTTGCCTGACACCTACTTGTAACACAATTTGATGAGTAACCAGAGGAAACCTCGGGGCAGGTGGCAAGAGCTGAGTGGCTGTTAATCACCGCTTCAGCAGGTTGGTGTTTTGTAACACCGGTGAAAATACTCTCCTCCTCCTCCTTCGCCTGGAGTGCAGATGAAGAGCTGCATGGTGATACCTCTACAGAGGGGGCTCTGCAGGCCTCGAGGCTGATCTGTCGCAGTGTGTTGGCGATCAGCACCGACCTCCGCAGGCTGGGCTCAGGTAGCTCCTGGCCTCGCTGATACTTGCTCAGGGAAACGGAGAACACAAACTGTCGCTGGCTCTCCCAGGTCAGGCTGCTTCCGTCGGAAACTTCCACGTCCTCTGGTGGGAATTTGCGCTTCTGCCCCTTCATGATCATCTTTGAACTGCAAAAGAAGGCAGACGCTGTTAAAATGACCTGAATTAAGTGTTTTACAGTAAACACTTTGTAGATGATCAGTTTCTCCTCAGTAAAGAAATGAGGGATTTTAAATAACAAGAACCGAATTACATAATATGAATTTAATAATTTCACAACAGATATGACAAACTATATGTGCAGGGCTTGGCAATATGGCCAAAAAGAATAAA